ACGAAGTATTCTGGCGTGCTTGTTGCGAAAAGTCTTAATGATTCGCAGGCGCAAGCGTTGTTTAGAAGTTATAACGGCTTGAGGATGGACCACCTAGCAAGAGTTGGCTCGGCGCGGTGAGGTCTTGTAGATGACTCGTACCTTCATTTCTCCAACCTGTCTTATTTTACTAGTATTCGCTCTGGGTATGTTTCTTCGTGGCAAGGAGACCGATGCATCATTCAGCCATACAGCCTTAACCGCTTCAGCAAACAATTTCGTTTTGTCCATCACATGCCAGGCATGCTGAAGGGAAATACACAGCCGGAATCTTTGCAAGCCGTGTATATGCATTAGAAGTCTTGTACCCGTGTATGCACAAATACTTCTAGTATTATGTCGACCAAATACGAGTTTAAGAGCAATCCAATGACCCGTGCCTACGTAGGTTGGTGGTCAAAGGTGTACTTTGGTGACTTAGGGACTGCAAGTGGTAACAATTCTTCTCATTCATACAATGATGCGCCAAGAGAAGGTTGTTCCACAGTTCCTGTGCAGTTGGCACCTCTTGATTGTGTAAGTGCAGCACCTTTGTAAGATGGACCTGTGACTTTAGCTCATCAACGTTTGTGCTCATCTTCTCAACATCTGGATGTTTCTGAATAGCAGGCCAACAAAGTTGATTCGCACGAAGATGAGCTTGTTCTACGGTAATGTCAACAGGTTTTGAACAAGCGACCGTGCGAAGATGCTTTGGATGATAGCGACGTAAATTTCCATCACAAGAAGAAGAAGGTGTTTGAGCCTCCTCAGTTTGTCTCGGCGAACATGGGTGTTCATTCCTATATAGAGATGCTATTTAGAGGTGATCTTCCTACGACTGAGGAGATTGGGGATCCGCCTGGTGCAGAACTCATTCCAAATCCACCAAATTTGTCAAGCTTGCAGTGTGTAGGTAGAGGTGTGCAAGAGCTTGTCATGCATCTAACACTTTTGCCAGCTAACTCTGAGATATCTTTGAGGGGGTCGAGCCTTAATGGCATAGAGCAATTTATCCATCGCATCAAGCTTCGCGCAGCCATGGATCTTAAGAGCTATATTGAGAAGAGGATTTTCAAGTGTCCGTTGGAGGACCTTGCTTTGCTCAAGGATGACTTATTGAAGTTTGTTTCTACGATTGACCATCTTAACATTGATTCCTCGCTCTTGAGAGCCAAGATTGCTGAACTTATGACACCTCAACTGAGTATTCTTCCTTGCATGTTATTTCCTTGAAGAAATTGAGTCCAGAGATCAGAGCTCAACAACTTGCGGCAATAGACGTATTAATTGCCCAAGTTTGGCCTTCTAAGCAAGCTGTTTCGGAAGGTAATCAAGTCAAAATGACTTCTTTGGCTTATGTCCAGGCACGGCTAGAAGCGTTGGTGCATGAGCGAGAGTAGTTGGAAACCGAAGCATCATGACTTCAAGGTGTTCTCTCGGAGCAGGAAGCTACACTTTCTCAGCATCAAAATGAGATTTTACACCTAGAGCAAGAGAAGGGTGCAGCCATGGAAGTGCCCACCTTGTCTCCTACTGACGTAGAGACTTTGAGGACTTTGGAAGGCTTGCTTGAAGATAGTCGCCGTAGTTTTAGGGACATAGCTTTCAAGTAGCATCTTCCATTTTTTTGCTTTAAGCCTTCTTTGCCTTTACTCATTTTTTGTAATAAGGGTTTGTAGCCAAAAAAAATTTCCTTTAAAGAAATAAAGTATTCATATTTAAATTTGCTCTTTATTCTTCAAAGTGTTTGTGTTTTGTTGGTGATGTGATTGTACTTGAAGTTTTGAAGTTTCAAGTTGCCTATGTACCCTTAGTTGAGGAGGGATCAAGTCATGACATAGTTCAAATGAGTGATGGATGTTGGCGATTTTAATGGTGATTATGATGGTGATTTTTTTTTTTTTTTTTTTGCCGTACACATTTTATGCTCTTGCGAGCCAGGAGCATTGGGTGTCGCCTTTTATGCTTGTGCGAACAAGGAGCGTTATGTTGTGTTCAGTTTAGACTCGTGCAGGTGAGAAGCATTGAGTGTCGCCTTTGAAGCTTGTGGGAACAAGGAGCATTATTATTGTGTGCAATTTAGGCTCATGCATGCGATGAGCTTTGTGCCGTGTGCAATTTAGGCTCATGCAGGCGAGGAGCATTCTTTTTTGTATAGGGGTAATAGTGCTTCAAGAATCTGCCATTGATAGGGCTGATCTTCAAGCCATCTTCTGCCATGGTTAAGTAGGCATCGCTGGTGTAGACCTCTTGTATTACTTAATGTCGATCCCACTTTGATGTGAACTTGCTTTTTGTTTTGTGAGTTGTGATGATGGGTCTTGGTAATGCCAAGATAAGATCTTCGGTTTGGAAAGACCTTGGGCAGACCTTTTTGTTGAACGCCTTGGATAGCCGTGCTTGGTAGTATTCTAGGTGTTGCTGAGCTTCGAGCCTCATTTCGTCGAGTGTTTCCAACTCTTGAAGTCGTAGCTTTGCATTTTCCTCTTCAATCAAGCCTTCTTGTATAGCCATCCTTAGTGAAGGGTTTGACTTTCGAGTGGCAGAACAACTTCCACACCATATAAGAGAGAATAAGGCGTAGCTTAGGTAGGAGTCCTATGTGTTGTCCTAAATGCCCAAAGTGCTTCGCTTATTCTTTCGTGCCAGTCTCTCTTTGTTTGGCCGATTACCTTTTTTAGGAGGTTGCACATCATTTTGTTGAATGATTCTGCAAGATCATTGGCCAGAGCATGATACATGGAAGACTTGTGCTGATTGAATTTGTATTTCTCGCAGAGCTCGTCCATGAGTCGGTTGGATAATTGTGTTCCGTTGTCGGTGATGATGTAGCGAGGCACACCATATCAATTGATGATATGCTCTTTGATGAAATGAACGACAGTTTCCTTTTTGACTTCCCTTAGGGGTACAACTTCAGCCCACTTGGATAAGTAGTCTGTTACAGTTAGGATGTAGGCTTTTCCGGCAGACGACTTTGGTGTGATTGGTCCTACGACATCCAATCCCCACACATTAAATGGCTATGAAGCAATCGTAGGGTGTAATGGCTCAGGTGGTTAATGTATGAAGTTGGCATGGAATTGGCAGGCTTGGCACCTTTTGGCGTCTTTTAGGCAATCTTTCACCATGCTTAGCCATTAGTAGCCCATCCTTTTGAGCTGGAAGTGCAACTTTGGTCCAGACTGGTGCGGTCCGCATACACTTGAGTATGCATCTTCCATGGCTTGATTAACTTGTTCCTCACCTAGGCATCTTAGAAGTACTCCTTCAAAAAAGCATCAGTAGAGTGTTCCTTTGTAGTAGAGGAAGCGAAATGCTCATGACATATTTCAGAGCGGTGTCTATGATCATCCAGAAGCTTTCCATGCTCCAAGTAGTCGATCAGCGTTTGTCTCTACTCTTCAGTGTCGAATGGAAGTACTGAGATGACGTTTGTATCATCTAGTAGCATTTTAGTGACGGACGGGATCACCTATCTTTGGCAAACTGGCACGTCTGCAGCTTCATCTTCTCATAGCGCCATACTTGAGGCTAAGTTAGCGAGAGCGTCTGCCATTTGATTTTCTTTTCTTGGCACATGTTCTAGCATCACGGCCTCGAACTTTCGGAGCAGTTGAGTTGCTAGTTGGAAGTATAGGATGAGATCATCTTTCCTTACTTCATATTCAGTGAAGAGTTGATTGATTATGAGCTTGGAGTCGCCATACATTTCTAGCGTTGTGATTTCCATGTCGACCACCATTTGGAGTTCGATAATTAGCCCTTGGTATTCAACTACGTTGTTCGAGCATAGCTCACTTAGCCGGAATGAATATGGTAGTATTTGTCTTTGAAGTGACATGAATACTACTCTTGCCCCCGCTCCGTTTGCTCGTGCTGATCTGTCGAAAAACATTGTCCATGTCGAGAAGATGTTGACGTAGAACACCTCGTCAGGCAAGTCATCTGAGATTTTCTAATCGACTAGGATTGGGTGATCGGCAAGGAAGTCTACTAGCGCTTATCCCTTGATAGCTTTAGCTGGAACGTAGATGATCTCGTATTGATTGACAAGGAACACCCATTTTGCTAGTCGCCCTATCAAAACTGGCTTGGACATGATGTATTTGACTGGGCCAACTTTGACAACCAAGTGGATGGTGTAAGCATGCATATAGTGTCTGAGCTTTCAGAAAAGTGTGTTCATTACATGAACACAGATTTATTATTAGAATCTAAATTCCAGTGCACATAATAGACTAAAGGTGCCCCATAAATGAGCAAAAGTGTTTTGGAATGCAAACTCTCATGTTTAGAATAAACTCAATTAACATAACCAGGACCTGATACATGAGCTACACTACAGTGCCTCTCTGCCAGCCCAGGACCACAACAAGAGATGTCAATCATAATATATCTGTACATCATGTATCATGCATGAACTGTAACATGAGGTACCAAGATCCAAAACCAAAATGGGTACCAAGAGATGCCTCATCTCAAATTTAATTTTTCTTCCTATTGGCAAACAAGCCCAATAGTGAGTAAAGACGAGGTTTTCCTGTTACTCTCAGTTTGATTGACTCTGTATGGAGTTGAGTTTCTCCTAACTCAAGTTTACACAGAAATTGAAAATTAACACGGATTATCATGCTTATTATCAATCTTCCTGTCCGCTGAAGAAGAAATTCTAAAAGCCTCACTGGTCTATCTATTCTTTTAAAGGTAAAATAACCTTAGTATAAGTAATAAACAACGTTTACAGTTGAAGAGCTTAAAACTCCCATTGGAAAATAGAAAGAGCTATAAAACTCCAGGCTTAGAACTTGGACAAAATTGTCTCAAACACTAGATCACACAGCAACCCGCAAAATAATTGGCACAATATGTGGAAGCATTACTGAGCACCTGTACCATAAATACCTCAGCAAGGATAAACATGAACATATAGATATAACCAAAAGAGAAGAGGGGGCGGCAAGAGGGGAGAGCGAGAGTAGAAGGGAAAGCAAAACTCATCTTTATTGATTGAAAAGGTTCCATATCCTTTTTCATGCCAAATCTAAACTAAACATACTTGAACTTCACACGAGCTTGTGCATAGTACTGCAGCCGAATCTTGAACTTTACATGAGCTTGTGCATAGTGCTGCCAAATCAAAGCATGTCCCCAGGCAACAGGGACAACATCAATCTGACAGAAGCCCCACACATTCATAACATAATCATTCCAAAGAAAAAATACACAGTTAAACAAAGCAACAGACTTAACTACCAAAGTCCATCTACCCTGCACTTTTTGCATGTATATACAGCCATGCTGTACCGTTCATCCACAATCAGCCTATGATGGAGACAGGGAGATGACTCCTTATCGGCAATATCATCTAGGGAAGCAGCTATTCTGGATCCCAGAAGGCTTTGGAGCAGCTCAGCACGTTCTAGCCAAATGTCTGCCTGCGACAACACTTCAGATAACCTACCCGTGGACTGACTACCAGCATCAGAGGATGTACGATCAATGTCCCTACTTCTTTCAAAATTACTTGAGAAATCACTACCACCCACAAGCATGCCATGATAAATAATACTGCAATCTGCATCACAAAACAAAAATGCCGATAAAGATGATTGCATAACAAAAACATAACCCTGCCTTTACAAGGCATAGATGAATGCTCTTCCTTTGTTCGTAATGGAATTTAAACCATGTTGTAAATGCTTTCTGGAGGTATACCTGTACAAGCGTCTCTGTGGCATGATACGCTTGACCAATTACTTCCATAACGCATTCTCAGGCAATTGTTGGGACCTCAGCACATTTTTCATCTGATTAACACACAAATCCCATGCACTTTTTGCAGAGAGACAGAAAACCTGAACTATCAGCCAACAGTAGCAGCATGCCTAAACAAGATCATTGCAAGCGGAACAAACTACTCAACAACAACAACAACAAAGCCTTTTCCCACTAAGTGGGGTCGGCTATTAAATAAAACTACTAATTTAACTAATTATAAAAGACAAAATGTTACAAACCCATGCCAAAAAAAACTTCATACAGGTAAAGTATACAATTCAACGTAGTTAAAGTGCTCGTGGATATGCCATATGTTCTACCTTTTTTACTTTTCATATCAGTACAAAGGGCCAGAATTAACATATGCCATGGATGCTCCCATATGTTCTACCTTTTTACCATTCACATCAGTCCAAAGAGGCCAGAATTATAACCTCTGCTCATCTGCACTTAGAATGTGGCTGTACCTCTGCAAAGCTTGTCTCATAAGTATGACCGAAGCATCCAAAAAATCACATCAACAACAAAAAGATACGGTTCACCAAGTAAAATTAATGCAACATATAAAACCTTTATCAAGCTTAAAGTAATCAAGACATCAATTTAGCATTAATAGAATATACACAATTTATCAAATATGAAAGCAGTACCTCCTTCCTAATGGAATCACTTTGAGGTAGGCGGCAGCTACACATTGTGAGAACATCCAAATCAGCATCCAGTTTCCTTCTATGCATATACCTGAAACAAAATTTGTAAGACTACAATAAACTCTATGGAAATAAGAATATAATGATTCTAATATAATAATTAGTGCATTTGTAACACCATTAACCACACCTCAGTTAATGAGACTGTAAACATAGGAGAAGGATTTGGATGATTCACAGCATGTGATTCCATGGAAAGACTAACAATAATGAGGCTCAGAGAGACTGACAGGAGAATTTACTCCCAACTTACAGGAACAAGACATTTTCAAGGACCAAAAATAGACTCAAACCTTCCTGCAATATCTGAAATTAACAAATGACCATGTATATAAGTGCTTTTTTTATGAGAAACTAGAACCACATTTATAGGCTGAATTATCAAATAAGAACATTTTCATTACTGGAACAAAATGCTGCTTGCAAATGTAACAAATCTGATCAAAGATGATGGGAGCCATAAACAGATATACTAGTACAATTCATTTGAGCTAACATTCACCAGGTAACTTATATACCCATGACATTACATATTTGAGAGCAAGTCTAACAGCCACTTGTTTACCCTTCAACCGCAGACAATACTGCCAACTATTGCTCCAGATGCTACTCCCTCCATAACCGTTAGATTGTACAGGGACTGACTGATTTTCTTCCCCACTTTCAATGATTAGCTGAAGTAATTGGAAGCTCTATTACGTAGAAAGTGATAAGATAGTGCAAGAGCATCCATGAGGTTTCCTTCGTCTATCGATCTGTTAAATCACAGCAATCAGTGACTGGAAACGGTAATGTCGCCTTTCTTTGCCAGCAGCATGATGACAACATTATCCCAAAACCAATCAAAAGATAAACAGACTTGCCACCCATAACAACCCCTCCCTCCAATGCAATAGGGGAAATTTCTGTTTAATATGCTCCCCAAAACCAGATAATTTATGCGTAAAAACTTCAAAGATAGTAAAGATGCTATTCCAGCATACATAAACAAATATTTCTCATAATTTCCTTATATTTGGAAAGTCTTCTTTCGGTTCTTTGCTTTTTTAGTAAAGAACCACTCGGACCTGAATGTTTCAGGGGTCATTTGGATTTCCAAAAAGTGAATATTTCGAATGTGGGCCATCAGAATCATTATACGATCTCGCAACTTCAGCCTGCCATAGAATAATAAATCAACAGGAAATAAGTGAGACTAACACCAATGAAGCTGTTTTATTGAATCAAATGGATTGTTGATTTCATTTTCCACTAAATAGAAGCATATTTATAATCAGATGCCGACTAAATTACCATGGATTTAACACCTGGTGGCCTTTTTGAGGATTACATTGGATAACTTAGGCGGGACCAATTCCACAATACATGGGAACATAACAGGAAAGGGAATTAGCGAGAATAACATCCTTAACTCGTACTCTAGATGAATGTAAGCGTAAAAAAAATGCCAACATACACAGTTTATAAATTCAGTTCGTTGTCATCCAAAATCTGTAAATTGAGATACTAGGTCAATGTACCAAACTTAAAATGCTAGTTTGAGCATAGAAGGAAGGTGAAACTTACTTCTCGTAAATAGTTGGCACATTCAACATATATCGTATGCTGTCTAAGTTGCTGAGAGGTCCATCTTCAAAGTCCGAAATATGAGCGGAATTCTATTGGCAGATTCGTGAGAACGCCTGGATCGCTCTGAACGAGGAAATATAGTAGGCATGTGCAATACATTGAGATATGCATCAGCAGAAACAGAATCATCCAAGATTGTTGGTGCACTTTTAGCCAAATGTTCATACCTGCACTATAATTTGCATTTCCAGTTTATACACAATGACAGCTTCAGAAAAGTGTGTTCATTACATGAGCACAGATTTATTATTAGAATCTAAATTCCAGTGCACATAATAGACTAAAGGTGCCCCATACATGAGCAGAAGTGTTTTGGAATGCAAGACTCTCATGTTTAGAATCATGTTTAGAATAAACTCAATTAACATAACCAGGACCTGATACATGAGCAACACTACAGTGCCTCTCTGCCATCCCAGGACCACAACAAGAGATGTCAATCATAATATATCTATACATCATGTATCATGCATGCACTGTATAGAACATGAGGTTTCATCACAGTATAGCCATTATGGAAATGGACAGTCTCAATCAACACCGATCCAAAACCAAATGGGTACCAAGAGATGCCTCATCTCAAATTTAACAAACACCTAATTTTTCTTCCTATTGGCAAACAAGCCCAATGGTGAGTAAAGATGAGATTTTCCTGTTACTCTCAGTTTGATTGACTCTGTATGGAGTTGAGTTTCTCCTAACTCAAGTTTACACAGAAATTGAAAATTAACACGGATTATCATGCTTATTATCAATCTTCCTGTCCGCTGAAGAAGAAATTCTAAAAGCCTCACTGGTCTATCTGTTCTTTTAAAGGTAAAATAACCTAGTATAAGTAATAAACAACATTTTCAGTTGAAGAGCTTAAAACTCCCATTGGAAAATAGAAAGAGCTATAAAACTCCAGGCTTAGAACTTGGACAAAATTGTCTCAAACACTAGATCACACAGCACCCGCAAAATATTTGGCACAATATGTGGAAGCATTACTAAGCACCTGTACCATACATACCTCAGCAAGGATAAACATGAACATATAGATATAACAAAAAGAGAAGGGGGGGGCAAGAGGGGAGAGCAAGAGTAGAAGGGAAAGCAAAACTCATCCTTATTGATTAAAAAGGTTCCATATCCTTTTTCATGCCAAATCTAAACTAAACATACTTGAACTTCACACGAGCTTGTGCATAGTGCTGCAGCCGAATCTTGAACTTTACATGAGCTTGTGCATAGTGCTGCCAAATCAAAGCATGTCCCCAGGCAACAGGGACAACATCAATCTGACAGAAGCCCCACACATTCATAACATAATCATTCCAAAGAAAAAATATACAGTTAAACAAAGCAACAGACTTAACTACCAAAGTCCATCTACCCTGCACTTTTTGCATGTATATACAGCCATGCTGTACCGTTCATCCACAATCAGCCTATGACGGAGATGGGGAGATGACTCCTTATCGGCAATATCATCTAGGGAAGCAGCTGTTCCGGATCCTAGAAGGCTTTGGAGCAGCTCAGCACGTTCTAGCCAAATGTCTGCCTGCGACAACACGTCAGATAACCTACCCGTGGGCCACTACCAGGATCAGAGGATGTACAATCAATGTCCCTACTTCTGTTCATCTGTTCTTCCAGTTTCTGTGTCTGTGCAAACAACCTCTCGAGAAGAATCCTCGCAGGTTCAGAAGCTCCATTGTCACTAATGCTCAACTTCCGATTATTTAAGACTGATCTAACGACCCTCAAGGAAGAGCCTTTCCGTTTTGCAGTAGGTCTAAAAGCTACTTTGTTCTACTTTGTGTTGAATCTAAGGGGGCACAACTTCATAAATGCCGCACCGGTATAAGTAAATGCTTGCTCGATTAGAAACCAATCCGGCCACAAGCAAGCATTATTTACAGTCAAAATTCCTAAATGATTGTGTTATTAATATCAGTTGGACGAAAAATTATATACAACACTGAAATGGGCAAAACTGAAATCACACAGCATGGCAATAAGCAACAACTCGCTAAACGACATAAGACCCAAGCTGCAAAGCACATCAATCTCTAAATAATTCAACTTTATCCACATTAACTTCAATCCCTGCAATTTTACAATTTTTCATAAAACCCTGAGATTTCAAACTAACTATTTCACCCAAATGCCCTAACCGCAGCCTCTGAAACAAAATACACACTAGATTATCACATTAATTGAAATTAATTAGCAGCATAAGACTAGTCAGTTTACACAATAGTTTTCCAAATTTCATTTTTTCTTCCATTTTCTCAGAAACCAAACACAAGACGCAGCAATTATTCAAACCTAGAGAGAGGACCTTGCAGCAGGGTTGAGATGAGGGGGTCGGGAAATTGGAGCGAGCGGTGGCGGCGACTGAGAAGGCCCCGTGGGGTTCAACTGCGGAGCACATCAGGGCTCTGCCATCACCGTTGGATTCATTTCTGATCTCATCATAACTCGATAATTTAAAATTTCAGACAAAAAAAATAAAAAATCAATCGGAGAATCTAAAGAAGGAAGAAGATGGCGCCGATAAGGTAAGATGAGCCGAAAAAAATCAATGGACATGCATAATTAAAATATACCAGTTTTTGACCAAAAAAACTAATATACCAATTCATTAATTTCTATAAAGCACCAAAAGCCACATCTTGATTTCTCTCCCAATCCCCACCAAAATCACAACACAGATAAGAAAATGTAATTAGTGGCTCACTGATAATTCATAAACAATACAATCGCAGTCAGGAGCATCAATTATCTTTGCCGAATCGCTTTCCGATAAAATCCATCTCTTTTAGCCTTTCAATCAAAAATTTTACCACACCTCTTGGGTTGTCAAAATTCAAAGACTCAAGTTCAGCTGTTTCCTCATCGTTCATCACTATTAGTAGCTCCCGACGCCATTCTGTGTCTCTTGCCCACGGCAATTCACTATACATCTTAAAGGCTTTTGTAGAATCCTTTTCTTTGAGGGGTTGAATGCACTTTGTTGGTATCTTATATGATTTCAACTGTGATGGTCGTAAACCCAACCATTGTATATCATGTATTGCCAATCTTTCACTCTCATAAGACCTATTTCTTGACCCCCAACGGTAGATAGACAGCATCTCAAATCCCCTGATATTACAATCGAAAACACCGAAAATGGGAAGCTTCAACTCTCTTTGAATAATCCTTAAAAACAATCTTGTATTGACCGACGGCTGTCCTTCTCCAGTAATAACAATACAGTCAACATTGTTGCAAAATTTTTCCTTCTTCAAAATATTGAAAACGGAATCCTTCTCCACTAACAATATAAACTTGGCATTTTGAGTCCTTGTATTTTCTATCTGTTCTACATCATCTGGAATTTGAATTCCACGGTCACAACGGACTTCATTGTCATCAGCTTCATCAAACCGTAAATCACCAATGACTTGACCAGTCTTTGCAGCGGTAATATGGAGACTTTCGCGGCTGCATTCTAACATGCAAGACACATCTTCAATTAAGTTATCTGAAACTCTTTGTTTACCGAATAACAATGGAGCTTGATAAAATAAGCCGCGCTTCGTAAGAAAAGAATCAGTTATCAAGAGATTAACCACTATGCGTAGAACCTCAAAAGTCCCCAGAAAACTTGATTGTTGAGACGAAACTTCGAACATGCGCTCTTGTTTACAGAGACGCAACACGATTCGATCAATTTCAGGAATGTATACATGGTATTTAGGATGGCGGCTTGGCAGGACAAATTTGCACTCCTCAAACTTCTTATTGTTATAGGACAGACAAATTGCACCTAGTTTATCTTGGATTTGTCGTATTAAACGATGAGAGGGAATATGGGTTACCTCAAGATAGTCGGTGTAGGTTTCTGGAAAAACCTCTTTTAGAGTTGGAAACGAAGTGGTACCGAGGTTGAAGTCATCAAAATTTCTTCTTATACAATTCATATATTCAGGATTATATGTTAGCCTAAACTCCTCGCAAACATTTGGTTTATAAGAATTCAATATACGATCAGCCAAGGTAGATGGAGACCCCAGAACCACTCTCGTCTCATTGCTATTCGTCTCCGAGCTAGACGGAGACTCTGAAATCACATAAGCCTCCAAAATCGGTGTACGACGCTCTGAATCCGGTTCCGTTCCAAACAAATTTCTGGCAATAGGAGTCAGTCGACTCAGTGGAGGACGCTCCCAACTTGGCGGAGGAGTTTGTCGACTCAATGCACGAGGAATTCCAAAGATACGACGCTCTGAATCTGGTTCCGTTCCAAACAAATTTCTGGCAATAGGAGTCTGTCGACTCAGTGGAGGACGCTGCCAACTTGGTGGAGGAGTCTGTCGACTCAATGCACGAGGAATTCCAATGATATCTTGTTGACTCGATGCACGAGGAAATCCAAACAATGTAAAAGGCCGCCGAATCGGTCCATAAGCAGTTTCCCACAAATTTTCGCCTATAGCCTCTATAGCCTCTGGAGTTTCTAGAATCGCTGCAGGACGGTCCGGCTCAGGTTTTCTAGAGTCCTTCCTAGCTAGTTTGGACACCATTGCAGGTTTGGGGAGAGCTTGGCCGGTCCTGAGTTCCGGGGTTGAAATCTACACTAAATCCTCACACTCATATTATATTACTTTGAAGGAAAAAACAAACAATGCACATCTATATATACTAAAACCCCCAAACTCGGTGGTACTGTTTTAGAGCAGTAAAATGGCGAAATTGCCCTTAAAAGTTTTCCTTCTGTTGGTTTTCATTCCTGCTTTCCACAGTTAAAGGACGGTTGTGCCCTTTACTTCCACGCCTCTGTCATCGTTGCTTTCTCTTCATTTTTCACTTCCTTTTTCACTGCTTTTAGTCGAATTTTTACCCCGTTGCATTTGGTTCCCTTCTTTTCCAGCCGTTTGTTCTCTCTTCCTCTCGTCACTCTTCGCCTCGCTTAGTCTCAGAGTGGATAGTTTTGCGGTGAGTTCTTCTGATGTCGCATCTGGGGTTGTTTTTTTTTCTGACCGTATAGATTGTGTTCTCTTGATTTTTAAATGGTAGAAGCTTTTTGGGTTCAATTTAAATGGGTTGTTATCAACCATTGAATTGCTTTTTCGCTTTCTTTTATGGGATACCTTGACTTCATTGGTTTTTCGCCCTCTATTTTTCTTCGTCTGAGATTTTGTTCTCTGTCGCTCTGCCGATTCATCGGTTTCTTGCTTTGTTCTTCTTTGTCATAGTTCTTAATTTCTACCTGTTTTTAATTCGATTCGAATTATTTGTGGGCTGATCTGATCGACCATTTTGAGGTAAGTTTTGTGTGTTTGTTATCGCGTGTGGTTTCCGTTTCGTGTGTTTCCTCGCATAGTTTTTTTGCATGTCTGATGTCGTTTGGTTTTCGATTTCAGAGATTTTCCCCATTTTTTATTCGATTGGAAATTGGTTTGGACTGATCTAATCCGGCGTTTCCAGGTAAGTATTGCATGTTTATCAGTCTATATGGTTTCGATTTTCTGTGTTTGGTTTGATAGTTTCTCTAAATGTCTGATGCAAATTGGTTTTCAGTTTCAGGAAATGGTGCCTTTGAAAGTTTGGGAGTTTCAATTTCGATTTCCCAAGTTCTCTGTGTTGAAGGTATTTGAATGTGTTTTAATTTAGTTTCCTTTGTTTTGCTTGCACCTGGGTTTTTTTTTTTTTTTTTAATTTTGTTTTTTTTGCTTATTTGGAAAGATTTTCTGTCATGTTTTTTCTATGTGTTTCGGTTGTGGGTGTGTTCATAGTATTTTTCTTGTAGAATTTCAGGATTTAACACTGGTGGATTTAATCTTTTTGCTTAAAATTGCTGTTGTTGTGATACAATAAAATTTATATTCACAATTTCCAATTTGACAAAGTACCTTATTGCCCTGTGTTATCTTTTGTGATAAACATATGAATGCACAAAGCAACCACACGTGCCTTACCCATTTCGATAAGCATTTGTATCCATGTTTACACATCTATCTTAAACGCTGTCTTGCAAAATCCAGTGGTAAATTCCAAGTTTACTATCTAATGTGCTATTAGGTACTTTTTTCATGAAATTGGATACTTTATTTACAACAACCTAAATTTGATTGCCCCTTTAGTTGCATAAACTCAGTAAAATTTTGAGGTTGTAGACACTAAACTGCTGAATCTCTACTGTTTCTTTTGTTTTGTCCAATTGTTGTCATTATTCTAATTGGGTAATTTAAGGTTTTTTACTGTGTTTATTTATTTACTGATAAATTAGTGGGTCTAAACTCTTAATTGAATTGAGGAAAACATAGAACTAGCAAAGCTTCGTAGAGAACATGCACCAGTTTCGTGTCATCCTATATTTATTCCTTCATTTGGGCAACACAACTTAATGAAATAAAATTTCAAAAATATGTTAATTTCACGCTTTTTATTCGAGTTTAAAAATAACATTTACATTCACAGTGTATCTTTTGCTCAGTGAATAAACAACTGTAAATGAGCTTGACTATGTCAAATTGAATGTTTTAGTGCCCACCACCTATAAAAGATAGCGTCAAAACTCCTCCAATATGTGTTCAAGCTCTCCCCCTTCTCTTTCTAATTTATATTGTTTCCATACACTGGAACCATAACACTAAATTCCCAATTTCTTGCCCACAATGATGTGTCTTATATCTCATCGAGAAGCTCTCAAGTCCACCGCATTGTCCGACTTCTTTGCCCACCGCACTGTCCGGCTTTTTTGCCCACTTCAGGTACTGCTTTTAGCATCAAAATCCTATGTATGTCCAACCTTTCTTAGCATTTTCAGTTGTTTTAGTGAAATGATGTGCATGAATTAATACAACATAAACTTACATAGTTTGTGAGTTCAACCATTGAGGTTTCTAACTGGATTTTGATTGTTTCACTAAACTTTTATACGTTTCAAATGTTTAAACAATGATGCTTCTAGCTAAATTTTCATTGTTTGGTTAAACTTTTATGCTCCATGGTGCCTATCAAATATAAGTTCACCATTGGTGCATAATTAAGATTTGATTTGATATCATTCAGGTTTGATTCGTTCAACGCTCTTGATTGTTTTTTTCAACCCAACTACTACATTTTCCAACAAATTTACAAAGAACAAACAAGTTGGATTACAACCAGATTCAGTCAAATTATATCACTATTGGTATTGCAGCTGCCCACCATACAGAAATTACAAAGTTTGCTCCACTCTATACTTCTTTGATACATTTCATTCAAATTCGTACATTTCGGTAAGGAACAAACTTTTATCTATTCCTTGAGTTAGGCAGAGCTGTAAATATAACTTTCTACATGTTGTATGTTGTTTAAAAACCTGCAGCATCGTGCGGGCACTGTATCTAGTTATTACTTTAGTCTAAAGAAGGCTTTTCAATTGCACTGTACAAATGAACATTGTTTGAACGACATTTCAGTTTATTTACAAGATTGCCACCGCCTCTTCAGTTTCAGATTGAAAATTTCGATTTATTTACAAAATTGCCACCCTTCAGAGTGCACGTGTCGACTATCGTAGAAAGGGTGGGGGATGGAAGCAAACCCGATTTTGTTCCAGAGATCTCTTCGACGACAAACCCATTTTGCTCCAGAGCTCTTCAATGACAAAGTCGATTCGGCGCCTCGCCGTCACACACCTTTCCTTACCTCACCGCCACACTCCTTACCAGAACTCGAATCAATGGTAACGTGCCAATTTTATATATTTTTTGTCGATTTTTATCATTATTCTGGAAATTAGGGTTTGATCTAAATTTGGTGTGGCTGTGCTTCAGCCAAAACTCACGGATTAGGCTGAGAGAGATATATATGGGAGGATTTGTGGACGGATTTCAGGGAGAGAGGTGTGGGATGGCAGGGATGGGAAGGGAGAGGGAGGAGTGAGGCTGCCAAAAAGGGGGTTAGGGTTGATTTTTTCTCCTCATATCAATTGTTGGTGTTGGTGATTGAACGAGCATTGGTTAGAGGAGAACTTTCATCTCCTTTGTTTCTGAACCGGAATGGGGTCGATGGGACCATGCTCTGTTGCACATTCAGATGAGTGATTTCAGGGATTTGGGGGTAGGGAGAGTGATTTCAGGGATTGGTAATCTCATCCCGTGTTTGCCCCTCATCTCTGTCACACTCAACCTCTCTCTAATCCTTTCTCTTTCACTCTCTTGCCATGGATTTGGAGGGGACTGATGAGAGGGAGAGGGGGGAGGTAATCAGATTGAGTTTTTTTAGGGGGTTTGTGGGGTTTTCTTAGAGATTTTTCTGTGAAAGCATTGTTGTTGTACGAATTTTTTTTATTGTGGGTTTTGATTGTTTGGTTATAATTTTGGGTATCTATTTTGGTTTTTTGAATCAGTTTTTGTGCAAGTCAAAGTTTTGTGTGGATGATCGTTGGTTCTAAACAAACCGAGCTACATATATGGCTTTGCTTCCCATCTACTGAAAATGTTACCCTTCTTCGCTCTACAAATTCCCTTCTAACTGTCGACACTTTTACAAAACCAAAAACCAATTTTATAAATTTTGATCAGATTTTTCTTCAGATTAGAGAGAGAAAGGGTCATATATTTTTTCTATTTTCAGAGAGAGGATTTGAGGTGGGTGGAGTGATGAGTGTTTAGGATTTTTTATGGGAGGGATGAGAAAAGAGTAAAAACGATCAGGAAAGTCGAATTCTTTCTCTGAAATTTCATCAACACTTTGTAAGAACTCCAATTCTCTCTCATATTTCATCTGTTTCTGTTAATTTTTGTAAATTTTCAAATTATGGGTCGTTCCTAATTTCCATTTTTTCTTTGGGGTTATGTTATTTTGATGGAAAAAGGCCGTATTAGCAAATAGATAATATTTCAAAATTACAGTCGTCTGATTCACTTATTTTTGTTCATATCTAATATTTCTGGATTTTTCCATGTACATTACAGAATTTAGTGCCATTTGATAAACGTTGAACAAAGTCCTTCAATGAATCTCTCAAGGCGCTTGAATCTGATATTCAGTTTGCCAACACTGTAAGAACTCCAATTCTTTCTCTACTTACACAATTCCAAAGCAATGTGTAATAAACAGTGGAATTTTGATTCAAGTTGTAGTAATTGCCGTGCAATTGTTTTTCCAATATGTTTATACACTTACGGTATTCCAATCTCTCTCTCTATCTGTCTCTCTCATTTCTTTTCGGTTTTGCAAATCTCTGACTTTCGGTGGTTTTGTTTTCTTCCAGTTGTCGATGAATTTTATGGATTTCCTTTGTAATCCTTGCTGCAGAAAGCAATCTCGACGCCGCTGTGGGCAATACGAGCCGCCACGCTACTGTTGGTAATTTTACTTTTCTGATTTTATATGAGTATGTGGTTTGTTTGATGAGAAAATATGGAAAACGAGAGAAATTTTTTGAATTTAAGGTTGCTATAACATGAATTTTCATTATGATTTGTGATTGGTTTTGGGTATCTTTCCTCTATTATGCTTTTTACACTGCCTGCATCAACCCCTTTTTGTTTTTTGTCTTCTCTTCCAACTTATGCCCTCAATAATGATATTATTAAAGGCATTTTTAAATTTATTGCTAATATTTTGAACTTTGTGTTGTACTAATGCCATAAGGCATTTTGATTTTTGACATTTTGTTATGTTGGTTGGAGAGTTGGAGACTTTTGCTCTCTTTGCATTTTGCTATGCTGGTTGGAGACTTGCGAACTATTGATTTTGAATGCTATTGCTCTCTTTATTCTTTAGAATCGAGTATTGGAATTTTGAATGGGACAGGATTGGATGTATGACTTTGTGCTTTCCTGAATGGGTTTAGTTTTGTACAGCTTGAAATGTTGGTATTGTTTTTGTTCATGTAACTTTGGTTCATTGTTCGTTGTGGGTTGAGATTTGGGATCTATTTTTTTGATTCAGTTTTTACATATCGAATTTTCTAGAGCTATTTGATAAGAGTTAGGCCTGTTTAGAGTCAGGTTTTATAACTCAAACCATTTCCAATAGCTATTTGGTAATAGGACGAGTAATTAAGTATCAAAGAGTGGGGAATTCAATGTCTTATATTGTCAGATATAATGTTATTGTGTATGTATTTACTTTGCATAAACTTGGTCTCACTTTTGATTGAATTGATACAGTTCTTGGTATAAGGAGCTATAGCTCCATTGAAGAAGTGAGAGGCATACGACAATATTTCTTCAGTCTGGTATGTCATTTTAACGATTGGAATTCCACAATTTGATTAGTTTTGATCATTTCCGGAAGAAGAAGAAGGCCTTGTGTCCAAGTTTTAAAAAGCACACTTTGTAATGCTTCAAAATTTCATGCTTTTTTCAGGAATTCAGACAGGTAGGATGTGGATACTTCTGACTTTATCAAGGTTAGTGAATTACGTGGTTTCTCCGCGGGGTGCAGTTTTATTGTTACACTTTGTAAAGCTTCAAAATTTCATGCTTTTTTCAGGAACTTAGTAGTCCCCATCATCATCAGTTTGTCTACTATTGCAGTTAGAGAAGCATTCCACAGAAGAATGCAGGTTACACCTTCAGTTTATTCGCGCAAAGAACCAGTATGTCAAAAAATATGTTACTAGATTCTTAAAAGCTTTATGGCATGACAAAATAAATTTACAAATTGCTAAGTTTTCTGTTTTGTATAAAATCTTTGTTCACTCTACCTGAACAGGTACACATGTTAAGTTTTCTTTCATCTTATCTTTGGCACAGAAAGCACCATCAAAATTTAAAAAAAAAAATTTATTTTTTTCATTCGGCTGTTGAGGAAGGGATTGTTGTTGGTGGATGAAACCTTTAGGTAATTATATGTTGCTTATTGAACTCCCCTAATCATGAGTTTAGACTCGGAAGAAGATTTTGATGATGACAGATACTGAATTAAATTTTGGCTCAAATTGTATTGAAAATTGCAGTTCGGAGCAATTTTTATGAGGAAGAAGGATGAATCCTAAACATACGTATGAATTTAGTCAATTTCTACACGCTCCATTCAATAGATGAATTGTAAACATATGAATTTCAAGCACCTGAATTGAATAGATGCTTTTAATTCTTCTCTCATCTAAACCTTAGATTTTTCTGTAATTTTATTTCTTTATTGTTTATATCATTGTTGTTTGAATATATGGTTGAACTTATTTCATTAATTGTTGATGCCGCGTGTTGATAATCATGGAAAGGTAGGGGTGCGATGGTAGTTTTAGTTTGTAGGGTTTCGAACGGATTGGGTGGGTTAGGGAGACTTTCATTTCCTTTCTTTCTATGAGCTGCAGAGGGACTCGGTGAGAGCATGCCGTCAGGAGAGAGAGCGGGAGGGATAGAGATAGGGATTTGGTGGGAATTCATAATGTAGTAGATATTCCTCAATGCAAAGGTCCCAATCCTAATGACTTTATATTTGATATTTAATCCTTGGATTAGTGTTAAATTCTATATGTTTTTAGTTTAATTTGTGTTTTCTTTTCTGTTTTTGCAGCTCATCCTCCAAGTGTAAATGCTGATGTGGAGCTGTTTAAACAAGGTCCCTTTTCGATTATTAAAACTCAATGTTACCTGCTTTCATTTCCAGTTTTTGAGTCTTCTATTTGTTTGCTTGCTGCAATTATTCAACTTATGCTGCTATAATATTTGTTTCCTTCTGTTTTGTCCTCGCATTAACTACCATTTGGATCATGTGAATGACAACTTTCATGTATATTTCGAATAATGAGCAATTTATTGCTGTTAATCTTTTGATCACTGTATATGTTGCTAATTTACCTTCTCAAACAACATAGTTGTAAACATTGATATATAAAACTTATATGTTAATCAACCAATTTAAATATTGGGATTTTAACTAATGGTCGTCCATGGTTCCATACTTTCCAGATATTGCAACATGCATAAATTCACCTGGAAATTTTTCATGTCAATGTCCCAAAGGATACAAACATGAAGGCATGGAAGAAAAGAGTTGAATCAAAGACAACAAATGGTCAAAGGCCATTCTCCTCATTATTTCATTAGGTATGCATGTTTTTTCACATGTTAATATATTGCATATACGAGTCTAAATTTATTTTATTAGAGCCACTTTTGGATCCAAAATTCTCATAAAGTATGTCATTGATGAAAGTTATATTCTATTGTCTTTTAGTGATCTTCATGTTTTTCGTACGAAATAAGATTGTTAGCTTCTACGGTAAGCAGTATTAACCATCAGGGATTTGTTTTCATATTGCATGAAATTTCCACTTTTTTCATCTTTGAATAGTCTCAAGCACAGTAAATATAATAGCACTAGAAAGTGAGGAAATCCACTTTCTTTGGTTAGGTTGGACTCTCTACCAGGACTACCATTTTTATCTCTAAACAAAATTTTAATGGTATATATGATATAAAAGGGTAAATTTAACCATTTTGGTTTCTTTGTTCTCATACTTTGGTGCCTCGAGTTTTAATTTTTCATAGCTGTGTCTGAGTTGTTTTCCAGTTACAATTCGGGTGCCATTGGTAACTTCTAGGGGACCAAAATTGTTTTCAGATCAAAATACAGGAACCAAATCATAACTAGACTAGGAGATTACATTATCAAAGTAGGAAAGTTTGGTCTTGATTCATAGTTTGGCAACATAATATGTATGTACGATGTTGTTTTGGAACCACTTAGTAAGTGTTAAATACATCCTATAACATGATTGACTAACAAGCATGGTCATTCAGATATACATGCAATTGAGATCACTGACTAAATCAGATTTCTTTTATATTGAAGCAAATCTTACCTATTAGGTGTTTGTGAAAATTCCCCAGAGAGTTAGAAACAAGGAAATGATGCAAATCTGAATGTAGGCTGTTTTGGTATCTGTGTGTATGTATAGGGGTGTTATATTGATATGATATGCTGCCTAATTTATCTATTTTTCGATTGTTAGATCAAAGAAGGAAGTTCAAGGATCAAGGTTTGGACTACTAGACAGCACGCCAGCTTCGGTTTAAGGTATGGAAGTCTCAAGCTTGCAATCTTAAATTTCTGGTTCCCGAATAAGAAATATGCTCTATTTGATCCCGAATAAGAAATGATATAGGTATGTGGCTTCCATCATTATTAAGTTGTATCCTTTTCTACTTGGGTTACAAAAAACCATAATAATGAATTAATCAAATTTTTTACTCTAAGGAAGTATGTACTCAACATTGTTTTTTTTAACAATTTCAATTAATATAACTATGACCATTTGTCTACTATTTTATATCTTCTGTTCTGTTTCCTTTTTGTAGACTCCCATTGCCATGTTGGTCTCTTGCTGCTAACTGATTTAGTTGGGGTATCTTAACAAGAGTGTTGTCTTTACGGAGTCTTTTTTTTTTTTTTTCTGTGGTGTTACTTTTTACGGGGTGGTGTTATTTTATGAATTTGTAGTTAGGAAGATTTAACAATGCCTTTTTTTGTTTGCTTTACTTTGTTATGTCTTAATAAACATAGGTTCAGCAACACGTTGCTGAAATGATCACTTATATAGCCTCTACTGCAAAACAATTTCCTAAGAAAAGTGTATTACTTTGTCTTCTGGGTGAGCGTTCTCTAATTTAGATTAGACAACAAGACTTGAAGCTTGGTTTGTTTTCTGTCTCCTTCACTGTATCTGTTGTGTGAATGAACATGTAGATGTCAACTCTAGCATTTAATGGTGTTGTGCACCTTGACAGGTATAGGTATATGTCAACGGCTCACAGGGTTTTTTTGAATCTGTAGGTCCAGGATTTATTTTTGAAAGGGTAAGTTTGATTCTTTTAATTCTCATCTTCAGTGCAAACGTTTGTGAGCAAAGTTTATTGTTGCAGTTTTATTCTTCTGTATGCATTATGTTTATCTTAAAGTAAAGGTTGCTAATCTTTTATTTATGAGTGTGTGCTGCTCGGTCTCCAATGATTGTTTATATTCTTCGAGGGTATAAATGGGAAGGCAAAATGCATTCCAATAACTCGGAATTCAACCTCCACCAAATTGTAAGGAATCCAATTCCTCCAAATTTTGGAGTTGGATTCCAAAATTTGCATGGTCTCCCAAATTTTTGATTCCCCAATATTGGGTAAACACCGGAGTAGTCCGTAATCGACTTTCAATTCCTTTTTTTTGTTCCGATTACCCTTACATAAATGTATTTATGATCTTTTAGTTTCAAGAGCCCAACTGTTGTTGCAAAATGTGCTATAGATGGAGCAACTAATGTCTTTCTTACTTATTGTTGGGCTCTTCTATCTTTATGTGAGGCATTTTGTACTACTGCTTTTGTAACGTTGGGATGTTTCAAGATTTATGACTCTCTGCGTTCTCTCTCTCTACGCACTTTTTCTTCCCTCGCTCCCTCTTTCATGTAGAGTCATTTTATGGTACAATGTGTTTATCGGTTCTCATGTCCAAGTTTTTCTTTCTACTTTCAATTAAGTTTTGTTTGTATGTTATGTTTTCATGGAATCTCTTGCACAGATTTCAATTATGTTGTACTTAAATGTCCTGAACTCAAGTCAATCAGGATTTTTTTTTGTTGAAACCATTGAATTTTGTTGTACTTGAATGATATAGATGTGGGGAATACATTTACATAAGGATTAATTTTAACCATTGAATTTCATTTCATTTTTCCTTGGAGCTTGAGTAACAAGATCATCAAATTCTATTATTCGTTATCTGTGAGAATAAATCTACATGCATAACAATATTGTTACACTTCTACTTTTTTGGGTTTTTATACAGTTTGTGTGTTTGCTTAGTCTTGCCTTGGAGTTGGATCCACTTTGTGTAACGGATTGTGATTTGTTTGAAAATATCTTTACTGATGATTTTGAGTATAATGTGTTTTTCTAATACTGTATTTTTCTCCCTTTGTAATCCAGTGGTGCAGAAGACATCTCCATTAACCGGTAACAGAAGAAATTGTTTGCTGTCGAGGTTCATGTGCAGAAGAGCGAAAATGCTGCAAGTGGAGGATAGATAACAGCTCAAGACACATGGTATGAGGGTGCAGGTAAACTATACATATGCATCTGGAAAAGGTTAAAATTTAAGGCGGGTTGGCTATAGCTTCTCCTTCTCACCACAACAGGAAATACTTTTGAACTGCATTAGGATGTTAATAAATTAAGCTTAAGCTATATTTTACTTATCAAGAATGGGTAAACTGTTTTAAATAGAAAAATTAAGTGCTTATATCAGGTAAACTATCAATTTTACAAAGTTTTCTGGTAAATTAGATATATAGTTTAATTTGAAGAGTTGTGTTGACCTTTACTTTTGTTAAATTATATAGTTTAATTGCGGCCTCTTTTTCCAATCCTTATATATCTGCTCAACTCTTGGTTAATTATTTGCCAGTAAGAATGTTTAATTGCTTGATCAATGATGTCCATTCAATTTGAAGAAGAAATAGGACTTTTGTCCAATAGGGATTTGAAATAGGGATTGAGACTCTCACATGAGTAAGATGTCCTAATTGTTCATTGATTCTTAGGTGCTACGTCATTTTAGTTGCTTTGTGTGGAAACTATTTTATGCCTGTTGCGACTAATACATTCAAGTCCCTGCAGCAATGCGCGGGCATATTTTCTCTTCTATTCTAAAGTAGAAGGGGGCAGGCACTGTTCATTGTTTTTTTATTTTGCTTTATTTACAACAATATCAGCCGAATCTGGCTGGGTTGGAAGGGTGATTCTCAAAAGTTCAGAGGGTGATTTTGTCCATATGGTTTAGCACAGAGCCACTCGATTTCATCCTATTTACAACAATACCAGCCAAATGGAGGTGGGTTGGGAATGTAATTCTTAAAACTTCAGAGGGTAATTTTTCCAGGGCACGAGAAATTTTTTATTGTGTAAAATGACGAGACTGCCCATCTCATCTTCAGATCCCACGGTGAGGATGAAGAGTTAGATGGGTAGAATCGTCTTTTTATTATTAGGATTTCAGATTGGGGTTAGGTTCCTTCCTCGTCACTTCGTTCTGTCTTCGGCACAGGCAAAGCCATGCTGATCCTGGCATGGGTGAGTGGGAGGGCGACAGTGAGAGATAGTGAGAGTGACAGTGAGAGAAAGGGTAGGGAGAGTGATTTCAGGGATTGGTAATCCCATCACGTGTTTTCCTCTCATCTCTGTCACACTTAACCTCTCTCTAACCTTTCTCTTTCACTCTCTTTCAGACTCTCCCTTTCTCCCAACTCTCCATCGCTCTCAACTTTAGTCCTAACCCTAATTTGTTCTTTGATTCCTCAATTTTCTCCATCCGAGCAATGAGAAATTGAACTGGGTTTTCAGATTATTGATGCACAGGGATTCACGGAGAGAGAAGGGAGAGAGAGAGAGTTGATTGAGGGAGTTGGTGAGTATGGGCTTGCACAGAGGGAAGAACACAGAAAAAGAGGGAGGGAGAGAAGGATTGCATAGAGACAAGGAGAGAGATAGAGAGAGAGATCGCAGAAAGAGGAGGATGACGAAAATTGAGGAGGAACCCATGTCTGCAGAGAGTAAGTTCTGAACCAAAGCTTATTTTCTCTAATTTTTGGTTATGCGACAACAAATTTCTGAAGCATAAGAATCAAGGAGCCTTGCGTTTAGAATTTAATCCTTTTTTTTTTTCTCTCAACAGGGCAAAAAAACTACCAGGGAAGGAAGAGACTGCAAGGAAAGTAAAACCCAGACCGGAGAAGACAAGCAATGGCGGAGGAAGGCTGTAGATCTTTGATAAAGGCATAAATCCTTTTCGTTTCTGGTAGTTTGCCCTCGCCTAAAAATGTGATTTGCAAGGTTTCCCAAAATAACAACATTCAAAACAATAGGGTGGTTTCGCTTTTCACAAATTTAAATTGGTTGTCATCTGTAATGTTATAGAATGCTGAGTTCCAAACTTTATCTCTGACATTTTATTGCGTTTTAGATAGGATGCAGTTATGGCCGTATAGCTATGTATTTTTTTTATCTTATTTTTTTCTTTCCTTTCGCTATTATTAGGTGCATAGTACAGGGTAGACAAGCTTAGTGGTTTTCTAAATGACGAGAAATTTTGGAATTGAAAACATGATGGGATTTTAGGAACTACCCATGGGCTGTAGTTTTCCCCATTTGTAATTAACAATTTCTTTAATCATGTTAGTTTGATAGTGTTTCGGTGCTCAGAAAATTTAAGGATTTAAAATATCATGGGTTAGGGGTTTTAAGAAATACCCAAGTTCTATAGTTTAGCGCCTTTGTTCTTATTAGGATTCTTCAACTTTGATTTGGATCAATTTTGGGTCTGCATGTTGTAATTGAGGTTAAAATTCAAAAGTCTTATAAATCTTTGATTGAATGATCAAGTTTACGGTATAGATGATGTAAGAATTTGTCGCCAAGGGTTTGAGAGAATGGTGGTTTCACAGGAATTGAAGCTCTGGCTCTCGGTTGTGAGTTCCATAAATATTTGATTGTGCAAATATACAATGATTTGTATTTTATGTCGATGATCAAAATGTGATCATAATCAATATTTATAAATAGATAAATGACTGAAAGTTTTAGTTCCAGAGATGGAATAGGTATGAGTGGTTATTGAAATATGTTCTGTTGTCTTTTTTTCTGCAGGAGATGCAAGAAATTACAATTGAAAAAGCCATGTGTAATGAGCAGAAATGTATCACCACTATGAAAGGGCTGCAGCTTTTTGGTGAGCTATCTGTTGTATTATATGCTTTGTCTTTCTATTTGGAGATTCTTATTTTAATCCTACCATAATAGGTAACTGCAATTTACTTTTGGATTTGATTCTTCACTGCTGAGATGTTGTGGGGGCGTGATTTGGGGGAGATAGGGGAGGGGGTTGGTTGCAGAGAGAGGGTAAGGGCAGGTGCATGATTAGGGGGACAGAAAGAAAGTTGATTGGGTGCACAATTTGAGGGTAGGGTTGAGGGAACGAGTGTGTTGGCTGCAGAGAGAGGGTGGGGTTGAGGGAAAGAAGGAAGATGCATTTTTCATTTTCAAGGTTATTTCTCTCATTACCGTGTGAATGTACAAATGGTTCTTTCCCAATTCAAAAATTGGGATTTTAACTGATTTTCGTCCATGGTTCCTTACTTTCCAGATATTGAAACATGCATAAATTCACCTGGAAATTATTCATGTCAATGTCTTAAAGGATGCAAACATGAAGGCATGGATGAAAAGAGTTGTATCAAAGACAACAAACTGTCAAATGCCATTCTCCTCATTATTTCATTAGGTACGCATGTTTTTTCACATGTTAATATATTGCATATACGAGCTTAAATTTATTTATTGGAGCCACTTTTGGATCCAAAATTCTCATAAAGTATGTCATTGATGAAAGTTATATTCTGGTGTCTTTTAGTGATTTTGATGTTTTTCGTACGAAATGAGATTGTTAGCTTCTATGGTAAGCAGTATTAACTATCAGAAATTTGTTTTCATATTGCATGAAATTTCCACTTTTTTCATCTTTGAATAGTCTCAAGCACGGTAAATATAATAGCACTGGAAAGTGAGGAAATCCATTTCTTTGGTCAGGTTGGCATCGCCGTCACATTGATATGAAGCTGCTGCGGAGGCGGAGTTGCTGTTTTGGGGGAAGATGAAGTTTTATATATCCACGACGGGGATAAAAAGGCTGACGATATCCAGTGCCGGCGCCGGGAAGGGATCTCCTTCGACGGCGGCGACTCGGAGAATTTCCGTCCGGACGGTCTTGCCGTTGTTGCTGGTGCTCGCGTTAGTTTTGCCCTTCCTTTTCGTTAGAATTGCGTTCTGTTCGTCGCAGGAATCTCCTGGCGGACGAGCACACAGCTCCCCTGGGAGAATGGCGTCGGTTGAGGGTATCTGTCGTACTTCTGCTTTCTTCTCGGGCTTGCTCGGGCAAGCCTTTGTCGGGCAGATCTTGGTCGGGCAAGACACACTTTGGGCAAGGCTCGTCGGGCAGTTCTGAAAGAGAAAGACAGAGTTAATTTGAAAGGGTGCCTTTGTAGGGCCTTAGATGTAGGCCTTAAGGCTCACAATCAAGATTAACTTTGTCGTGCTCAGGCGTGCCACTGCCATCTTCAGTATGGCAGATGTTGAATGGGTGTTAAGCTTTGATTGAATATGTATACGCCCGAGAAACCAAGTTAGATATAACAGGTGCCTTTGTGAGGCCTTAGATATAGGCCTTGAGGCTTCCTGTCAAACTAAACCAGCGCTTGGATGTATCATATTTGGTCTTTTATGGTTGCCAGAGTCTTATCACTATTATACTTTTGATTATCTGAATCCAAGAGGTAGGACGAACCCAAATGAGTGCCTTTGTAGGGCCTTAGGTATAGGCCTTGAGGCTTCCCATCAGAGTTAATCCTTATACTCGGACCAACTAGACCACAACATGAAATGAAGCTAAATAGATGCCTTCGTGGGGCCTTAGGTGTAGGCCTTGAGGCTTTCTATCAGAATTCACTCCCTGCTTAAGCCCTTTCTATGAATCAAGATATAATAGCAACAAAACGGAGAAATAGGTTGATTACTTGCGCCCCAAGTAACTTCGGACTTCTTGCTTATCAAGGATTGTCGTGGATGGGTTGAGTCCACATAGAGTTCTTTTTTATGCCTTGAGGCCAAGGACTTTTAAACTGATCTTTAAATTACATGCCCGCGGGCTTAAGACTTAGATCTGATTTGAACTCTAACGCGATTCAGATCGGATTCAAGTGCCGAAGACTTACTTTCATTATGACTTTGCTAGAAATAACTTGTATATAACTGGGAATATATAACATGTTATTGTTCTTTTAAAAGAAAGAAAAGACAAAGACAGAGCAAAGATAGTCGGGTAAGTTTGAACCTTATCGGCCAAGGCTGAACTTCTTACAAAATCTATCCTTGTGGCTCTGTCAGAGGTCTGAAAGCTTTTAGAGGGGTTGACGGGGGAGAAGAGGACACAAAATGAATCGATACCACCATGAACAAGGTAGCAGAGCTATTACAGGGGTTTGGGAAGGTTTATCCCGAATGGGATGAAGGCTTGTGCTGACTACAGCTTCGTTGAAGGCAAATCTGGCTTGAGCAGAGTTTTGGCTTTTGTTTGTTTGATTGAGTGTCCTTAATTCTGTCTTCTCTTCTCCCTTTTATAGACGACTCCAGCTTGGGTTCCTGTAGCAATAGCGGTTGCCCGAATGCGGTTTGGTGATGACTCACTAGCTTTTTTACATGAATGCCACCAATAAAGTACTTTATTGGGCTGTGCAGTGACTGAATAACCTACCCCCTGTGGTCTTTGAGCAGGTAAGCAGGTGGCCTTTGTAACTTGTGCCCAGCCGAAAGCCTCTTTCCTGCCTCCTAAGTTTTCCTCTGGGCCTTAGGTTTGGGCCGACTTTCTCTCTGGCCCAAAGTTCAGATTTTATCCCAAACACGTTCATTGTCCTTGAATCTGCCACTGCTTGCTCTTCCACGCTCGGTAACTCTCTCTCTAGCTTTTTTATTTTATTTATTATAATTTCTTAAAGTATTTAGGTAAAAATTCTAAATTAATTGAAATATTTTAGAATTATCTGAAGAGGATTTTGGGGTTGCTGTGACGTGGTTGTACGTCTGGATTTTTCTGTGCTGATTAAATTTGATAACTCCAAAATTGATTATTGGTTTGGTTTGATAGGTGAGGCAGATAGAGGGAGAGGGAAATTGTGGTTTCAACACTCTCGCTTCTGTTCTTGGAAGGTAGTTCTTTACCACTTAACTCTCATTCAATTTCTGTGAATTTACAGTTTTTTGGTTGTCTTAATGGAATGGTTTCTGGGTTCTTTTTTTTTGGGGGGGGGGGAGGAATTTATATATGTGGAGAAATTTTTGGTGAAATACGGTCAAGTATAAGGATTTTTGGGTTGTTTTTATTCAACTGGGAGTAGTTGCTGAATTTTTTGTGGCGAGAAAGAGTTCGATTTTTCCGTAAATAGAGTTATTTATTTTGAAATCCCAAATTGAATGAAGACTTTATTTATTGTTGTAGCAGTTGCAAAGAAATGAAATGTAATTGGGTGATTAATTTGTTTGTGTTTATGTAGAAATAGAAAATAATTGTTAGATAAGTACTATGTAATTTTTCTTACAAAAAAGTTCTAACAAAATGACAGGAAGAGTAATGTGGCGAGGCTTGGGAATTTTAGTATTGGCTCTTTCCTTATCATTAAGCAAGAGATTTTCTTTATTTTTGAAGTAGTTTCTGTAATTTTATACTCTAGAGAGTGAGCTATTTTATAATTTTGACTGAAATCAAGGTCAGTATCGTTTTGTAAATTTCATCATGGTAAGCTAAAAACTTGACGTTGTGGGACAATGGAATGGAATCATCTCGAATTAGTTTTGGTTGATAAGGATTAGGGCTCGGTGTGGATTAGTAAGATTGTTTAACTTAACCTGAACCTGTGTGGGTTTCATTACTCTGCTAGGTTACGTACTTAGTTGCCTAATTATTTGGACTAGTTTATTGTGTTTGTGTGTGTATGTTGGGAATGTGTACGCACAGCTCAGGGATGAAGAACATGCTCAAGCTGCGCTTCAGAATCTCACTGGGAGGTTCAATGCAGGTTAGTTCCCTTTCTTTTTCTTACCTTGATATGTTACGAACAACATGATCAATAGTCATGATGGTATGGTGGTTTTATCGTCGCTGTAATATGTTTCATCGCAGTCACTTTCCTGTCTTTTGATTGATTCGTGATTGGTATATGTATTGTGCTACATGATAGTTCAGTGTTTATAGTTTGCACATTATTGCCGAACTTCCAACTTAGAGTCGAGCTATTTATGAGAACTGGGTTTATTTCGAATTTTTGATTGATTGAATTTTTAAACATGTTGTCTATCAGGGCTGGCCTTGGGAGTATTGGATTTAGGGTGAAAGCAAATCGTGCATTCACACAATCGCACATAAGAAACTTCTATTTGTATATTGTTAGAAGAGCATACACATGTAATAGATTTGCAATCATTTGAGCGAGTTACTCAAATTTCAATTTGTGATGGTGCTGCATAATTATATCCTGGCTTGGCATTATCGTAACCGCATGCGTTTCAAAATAATAATGGGGCCACAGTTGTTTCTATGCATAATTATTTCTTAAGCATTTACATTTATCTTAAATAATTATTTTTATACATAATTATGCATAGTACTCAAAGAAAACAATTATGCATAGTACTCAGAGAAAATAATTATGCATAGTACTGATTATGTTTTTGGTTAAGGATTAGGGATTTTGGGTGATTAGTTTTAGTTTCTAGCTTTTGGGTATATTTTGAGAGAGAGATTTTGTTTTGTTTTTATTTTTTTTATTTTTTTTATTTTTTATTTTAATTTTGGGTAAAATTTATAATTGCATCATGCTATGGGTTCTCATGAGGGATTGGATTGGCTTTGGGGGAGAGGGAGAGGGAGATTTTGTTTATATTTTGGGTAGAGTTTTTAGTTACATCCATCATCCTGCAAAAGATTAGGTAATTTCTGAATTAGGGTTTTTTTAATTATTATGTGAATTTCTGGTTTAGGGATTTAGGGTTTTTGAGTTAGTTTTTGTGAAGATCATTGTTTGATTTTAGGCACACTCTAATCGATTACAAGTTTTCGGATCCTAAACACTTTGAAAGGGTTTCCAGAAAAGACATCTTTCCAAAGGCGAGTAGTGACACTGTCAAGTTCCTCAACCAATCTTCAGTGGAATTTTCTCCATCATCCTATATATTGCAGCATTAACACATTTGATACGAAATTTTCAGTTTCTAGTCACTTAAGATGGCAGGAAAATGGACACAATAAATTATCCATGGTCTTTATCATTGCTAGCTGAGAATTGGAAAGTGCCTGAAGTTATTAGTTATTAAAATGTTCCTTTTTGTTTGAAATGCGAGTGTTGTTGGACAAATGGGATAAAAGAAATGGTTGTTGCAGCGTGTTTTACTTTGTTGGTTGGCAAGAAGCATGTTCAGTTGATTCAATTTATTCTTTTACTTTCTATGACAAAGCAATCCTTTGCAGACCTTTGGTATCAAGTTTTTTTTTTTTTTTTTTTTTTTTGAATCTGGTGCACTACGTGCAATTACATATGTGTGAGACACTTTTTAAATTAGACACACTATGCGCTACGTACGGATTTTATAACGTTAGAGTCTCATTCAGTTGCTGTTTTAAATTTGGGCTTCCATTTGGCTGAGCATCCTTCTCTTCAAAAGGTAACATTGTTTCTAATGCCTAATCAAAATTTGATTTCTTGGGTCATTACAATTTATATAGTTTTGTAAAGAGAAATTGTTTACAAGCGCAAACAACTGCCAGATTTTATTTTGAAGTCTGAATATGCCAATAGAACCATATAATTATAATGGTTGGGACAGTTACTGCAAATCTTTTGTGACGTTTTTTTATTGGTATATTATTCCATTGTTTTCAGGGGATAGACAAAAGTCCCAGGCAGCAATCTCCCTGTGATCATCGCTGAGAAAATATCGTGGGCATTTTGAGTTCGAATTCAGCTAGCATGTGGTAAGCGTTTCTTTTCTGATTACTTTCATTTGTTTATTTGTGAATCAATAAAGAATAATGAATGTCACAATTGCTGATAAATTGATAATTTGTTTGGAGCTTGAATTGTAGATCTGTGCAAGATATCCATATATGGATCAATGTTATGGACTCTTCTCAACCTATGGACCTCAAATTTCAATGCGTCTTCCATCATTTATCCTACCTCACTATGTATGGAGCTATTACATTTGCAATCATATTAATTCCTTGAAAACAATATTTATATTTCTCTGTAAACTGCTAAATTTGGCAGAGAGATGAGGGGGGTCCAAGATGGGATTAGGAGATTTGGTTTAGGGTTTGCAGAGGCAGAGATAAGGGGTGTCCAAGAGAGATGTGGGAGGATTTAGGCGAGGGATTTCAGGGATTTGGTTTAGAGTATGTATTCTGCGATTTGCACAGACAAAGAGATGGGACAAGGGTGAGAGTGATGGGAGGATTTTATGCAAGGGTTGAAAGGTAAGGGAGGTATAGGTATGGGTTTGTTGTGATGGGGTTTAGTAATTTTCAATATTATTCGACTCTTTCTAATATGCAAAATCAAATTACCTATGGAATTTATAACATGCAATCAGTTTTTTTTTTAGTTGAGTTCAAATAATGTAGATTTCGTTGTTATAAAGCTGTTTATAGTTAGGTAGAAAATCATGTCAATATATTCTTTATTTAGTTGTTCCAATCTGTAATAGATGAGATTGTTTTGTTTGATGTTTCAATAAAAAAATTGATCCATTTTTTTTTTTGGAGAACAAATTGATCTATTTTTTTGTGTGAAATTATAATGGAATTGCAAGTCAAGTGTATCTTAGATTCTTGATTGCATACCCACCTCCCCACAACTATTATATTGTCACTTGACTGGATGGATTTTTATAATTTCCTGGATCTACGGTTACAATGCTTTTTATAATTTCCTAGATCTATTCTTTTTGTTCGATCATGATTATGTTGAATGTTTTTCAGGTTAAATGTGTCTTATTCATATAGATAAGGCTGGTGCATTCAAATCTTGCTGCATCGCGCGGGCATATTACGAGTAATACCTAAACGCTAACCATCAAAAGCAAAACTCTCTTGAAATTTCAACCTTTAAGAACTCATCTTCTTCATTTATTGAAGTAAAATCATCAAATATATTATCAGAATTCAAGTCTCCAAATGCATAAAATTGCTAAATTATTTAGCCTACTTGAGTTATACCGGTCACAAGTAAGATTTTAATAATTTTAATTTTGAAAATTTTTCAATATCAAATTATAATTCCAATATATTATCAAAAATACTAACCTATCATTCCAAGTATATATTAAAAATATCATTAATATATCAATTATCATTGCACATATCATTCCAACTATATAATAGAAAATTACTAATATATATTATGAAAAATACCTAATATTATCAACCCAAGCTGGCAATCCATGCCAATCTGAAATTCGTAGAAGAGGAGTTTTGCAATTTCCAGTCGCCAATTGGGTTTTGCAGACATCGCAAAATGCAGTCTCACATTTGGTTGCAAAATTGAGCCATGAATCCATTATCAAACTGCAATAAAAAAAAATAAATCCATTAAAAAGAAAGAGGCCTTATCAAACTGCAATAAAAAATAAATCCATTAAAAAGAAAGATGCCAAATCGGAGGAGAGGCCAGACCGCAATCATTCCAACAAACATATATTGTAAAATTTAGTAAATTACTAAGAAAAGAGTCGGAAACCCCAATATATAATATAGAATAATACCTCTCGTTCAAAAAAAATATATAGAAGAATACCTAATGATCTGTGAGACGCGACTTCCGAGTTGCGAAGAAGGAATAAGAGAAGAGTCAGACTTGAAGACGTTTCTGGGTTTGCAAATTTTTATTTTTATTATTATTATTTTTTATATATCCCCCATAGCAAATTTTGGTGCTCTATAAATTCTGGGCCCTGGACAGTTGCATTGTCTGCACTGGGCCAGGGCGGGGCAAGTGTGGGTTTGCAAATTTTTATTTATTTATTTATTTTCTCATATATCCTCCATATTTGTTTGTATAGCAAATTTTGGTGCCCCATAAAATTCTGGACCCTGGACAGTTGCACTGTCTGCACTGGGCCAGGGCTTGAGTCTTGGAACATTAGTCTAGCTAGCCCCAAATCGCCTAGATGAGCAATGAAACCGGAGTCCAACATCACATTGTTTGGTTTAATGTCTCTGTGCACCACAGGGTTGCCACTCTTCGTGGAGGTAAAGAAATGCTGATGCCAATCCTATTAAGATCTTGTACCTTGTTCTCCAATCAATGTATGGTTTTCCAATGTATTGATTGAGGCTTCCATTAGGCATGTATTCGTAGACCAGAAAACGATGCCCCTATTCATGACACCATCCTTGTAGTTGCACAATGTTCTTGTGCCTTAGGCGGCCAATGGTGCATATTTCTGCTAAGTACTCCCTTTCACCTGTTGTGGGTTTTTGACAAAAAAATTGTTTCAATAAACAGAAATCGAAAGAAACTATTAGGAAAATAATTGCAGTACCCGAACGAAAAAATGTTACTTTGGCTATATTCATGTACCATATTGGTGTAACATTTTGTGAATTATAAAACAATGCAAATATAACAAACCTTTTTTGGAGGTTGCTGAAATCTTCTTGATAGCAACAATTTTAGGAGGATGTGATGAAAGGATGCCTTTGTAAACAACTCCAAATGCACCTGCACCCAACAGATTTTCCTTACTGAAGTTCTGAGTCGCAACTAAAAGCTGTTTGTAAGTGAACATTTCTGGGGCATTTGCAGCTGTTCTTGACTGGCTTTCTATGTCCTCACCATCCCCATTGTGGAGCCAAAAATAATTACAAGACGACACGTGAATTTTTGATAAAAGATGACAAAAATACCTTTGAGGCATATCGGGATTCCTACGCGCGAGCAGCATGCGATCATCCCTCAACCAAAGTGTTATTTGTTTTGACCTAAAGTGTTATTTGTTTTGTAGGTGCAATTTTGTCCAAGTCAAGGATGAAGAAATTTGCATCCACAAATTGATACTTTCATTGAGAGAAGAAATCCACACTCGTAGAAGACTCTGGCATAAAAAGGTTTTTCTCTATTTTCTAGTTCACTTGTATTTTTTCGTACGTTCTTATTATTAGAATTTTTTATTTGCAAAAATTCTTTGATAAAACGTAAAAGAGAAATACAATGGCTAGTACTTTCAAAGCAAAGGGATATTCTTAATGGCGACATGAAGCATTTGGTTCTTGCCAATGAGAATTTTAAGGCCAGGCTTAAAGTCTAGCATGGAAAACATAAATAAGGAGGTATGTATTTTGTATAATCACAAGTGATCAGATGCTTTTGTATCGCTACAGTTTTAACTTATATAAGTTGTGGGGAGCAGAACTGGATAATAATATCTCAACGGTGGTTCTAGAATTTTTAATCTGCATTATCTTGTTGCGGTTGGAAAGGATGAAACATGAAAATTTGCTTCTTTCCGTCGATGATCAACACCTTGAACCAAATTTCCTGGTTTACAAAGAGAGATTATGCAATTAAATAAGGCAAATAACAACTTATAATATAAGCTTGTCCTTGAACTGTGTCATGTTTCATATAAGCATGTCCTTGAACTGACTTCATGTTTCGGATCTTTGATTAGGTAAATGAAGAATTGGGAAATATATTTCCCTGCTCCAACGAATTTTCTTGCAGTGGCAATGCATTAGAGAGGGTGCTAGCTTTGGAAGTTGAACTTGCTGAAGCATTGCAGGCAAAGAAGAAATCAACTATCCAGTTTCAAAGGTACATCTTAAGTGAGTAAATTACCTATTTCGTGTTTAGATGCATGTCAACTAGAACCTTTGCAGGGTTACGGGTAATGTCTTTTCGGCTTTTCGGCTTTTCGGCTTTGGTGTATTTTGTGTTTAACCGACATTCACCTCTCCCAGACCCTGCGTAAAGCGGGAGCCTTGTGCACTGGGTACGACCTTTTATGGGATCATAAGACCCCGCTAAATTTGTCATTTATGAACCAAAAGAATTTCATAATGTACTTCATCTATTGATTTTTGGACTTTTAGGGGCTTTTAAGGTGGGGGAAAAGATGGTTATTTTAAGTTCAGCAGAACTAGGAATACATGAGTTTAATAATTAACATGACACCCTCCTTTGTTCCAGTTCTTTCGTGAAACAACACAGCGACGAGGAAGCAGTGTTTCACAGCTTCAGAGACGTCAACGAGCTGATTAAAGACATGCTGGAGATTAAGGGAAGATACGCTACCGCGGAAACTGAACTCAAAGACATGCATGACCGTTACTCCCAGTTAAGCCTTCAATTTGCAGAGGTCGAAGGAGAGACAAAAACGAATGATGACTATCAAGAATGTCCGAGCGTCAAAGAAAGCCCTACTTGAATCGCTCCTCAACATCCCCTTTTCTAGACCCTTCGTAATAGTCACCGTAGCCATCCATTCTTGTTTGCGAAGAAATAGCCCTTTACGGGGTTGAGAATTGATGGTCCGACATGCCTTGCTGCACCATGTTATCGTATATGTGAAAGGTGAATAATGTACGGGCCAGTTAGCCGCTAGCCGTGAAACTTCACGATGTTGAAATGTGGTATCGAAAGCTCAGCAGCAGTGTAAATAGAAACCTCTGCTGGTTTGTGCAACTGGTTTATGGTATCACAGGTAAAGAACGCTGTTACGATGCTGGGAGAATATGTTGTAGTTCTGCGATATAGTCAATCAAATTTCTTGTCATATTTATTCAAACATCGAAAGATATTGCATTTTCTCCCCATGCATCCCTTCTACATACCAATTTCATTTGGGAGACGAGACTTGCAAAGAACACGTAACTCAAGTGGTTAAGAGCATTCAAGACAAAAATCTACAGGTGAATAAAAAACGCTCTTGAACCAATAAAAACGAATTCAGCTTTTACAATAAGCTTGCGAATCAATCAAATCAATATGTTCGTTTGCTTTTTTTCTTTTACGCTTGTATTCATTGATGCCAGAAAAACAGAAGAAGCTCCTAATCCATCAATATGGTCCTTTTCTCAGTAACAAATCACATGCTATAAGGAACTATAACGCGTTTTACATACGGACACGATAAGATTCAAAGTAACAAAAGTCTGGCTGATGAATCCATGAATTTCTTGATGCTACTTCACCGCCCGGTAACTGAGATTTGAACTGCATCCCATCAGCAACACATGAGAAGACACGGAAAACAATAACAGACTGAAGGAGCTCCACGAAGCTTGTTACCAGAAGCTACAATATTGAACATGAACATTGAGGCTGCTCTGGAGAATCATTCATCAATTTATCTGTATAAAAATGCAACTGTTAAAGTGTCAATTCCTTGTTCCGGAACCTTTTCTTTTGTTTTGGTAACATAATCCTATATCGAAGCATTACATAACATTAATGTCAAAGCGTCGCATATATATCAAGATTCGTTTACTTTTCTGCTAGCCATAATTTCATCTACTTAAAATTATTGAAAAGAAGGAACGATCTACGGATATTGTTTATTTTGGAAGAGTATATATAATAGCAGAATGATAGCACACAGGAAAAACTAGGTAGGCAAGGTATACATCAAGGGAGGGAAAGGACCCGAGGCCCAATTAAAAAACAAGCATACAAAACAAATACAAATGAAAAAGAGCCTATCCTGCTTTATTGGTTGGAGCTATTACGAAAGACAACACGTTTGCTCAGTTAAGGAACAAACATACAAAATAAAGACAAATTGTGTCATGTCATACAGAAACTGCACTTACAAGAAGTAGCATGAGAAATTAGTTATTGACGTAAGACTACATCCAGATTCTAGCATGTGAGCTCAGGTCAAGAAATTGAGAGGAACCAGAAGCAAGATACCTTGCTGCTGAATTCCTCAGAAACAGCTATGTTCATAAGAGATTGATGCACAACAATTATGAGTCCTAAAAAAATCGATTGCCAATTGGGGGTTAAACACTCATGAAAACTACCAAGATGTCGGATACTTAGGGGAAGAGGCTAGTCAAGATAACAAACTCAACAAAGAGCATGTGCTACAAGATATATCCAGCATAACTGCAAATATTCAGGCTGAAAGAAAAACACAACTGCAAGCAAGTCTAGTAAAACATAAACATAATTACCGTTCTTTTTGTCTGCAATAGGAGGGCGCACAACCACGTGCATAGTGATGAGACTTCCAGGGAGTTCACCAACTGGATTTCTGGAATCAGCAAGTGTCCTGTGTTTTCCAGTATCTTTCCCGCATTAATAAGCGTCAAATCATTTATTGTCCTTGGACCATTTTCTTTCTCTATCAAACAGATTACATTACATGAGAAAAAATATAAGTCAATCTCAAACCAAAGCACAATGGTGCGATCATAAAGCAACCAAAGTTTCATTACTTCTGTCAAAATGTCGGCTTTGTCTGCAATTTTTTCAATATTCTGTTTGTGCAAGAGGCAAACACATGATATGTCTAATTACCAACATCAGCAACATATATGCAACAACTATGACTAACATGAACATACACTTTCATAGTATATGATTGATAAAAGCAACGACAATTTCCAAAAGCATATGAGTAATTTGAGCATACACTTTCAAGAACAACTAAGAACTCCGTCATGCGAAAAATACAACTAAGAACTCCGTCATGCGAAAAATACCGTGATCATCGTTGAGTTGATGTAGATGAATAATCTCTCTGCACTATTAGTAATAGAAAAGATGGATGTAGATGATTCTCTTTACCTCATATCTCTGGAGCAGCCCACCTTTCTCCCGACCAAGAGGACTAAGCAGCTAACATCATTCACGGTACTTAGCAGGGAAGCTCAATCCATACTGGCTTTTCCCTTAATTTTTCTCTCAGACCAGTAGGCAGGAGGCCTGCATGCCCAGCATTCCAACAGCCCAGAGGCTCGCGACTTCCTGATTTCTCTCAATTACCAGCCTGGCCTGCGTTAGGTCCAAGAGCCTAAAGGACATAAGCCATGCGGTTCTCCTAGCACTGCGCCCCAATGCCTCAATCCACAATAAGCTGCCCTTGGCTTTAGCCAAGCCGACAGCCCAAGTAGTGCCCATGCCGAGCCGACTCCTGGCCCCTGCCAGCCGATGTGCCGCACCACCCCGATAGCTGCCTCACGACATCATTATCCAACAAGAAGACAAGGAAACTAGGAAACAGTCCTACATTTCCTAAAGCAAGAATATCTTTACACCTGCTGCCCTTTCCTGCGAGCAGCCCAACAGGTGTGGGGGCATTTATGAAGCCAAAAATAATCAAGAAAAATATGGAGGCGACACGTGGAGTTTTGGGTTAAAAAGACAAGATTACCCTCGAGGCACATCGGAACTCCTACACGCGAGCAGCAGACAATAATCACTCAATCAAAGTCAAAAGTAATCAAAATAGGTATTTGTTCAAAACCTATTTCATCCATCTTCATCAAATCCTCCCCACAAGGTAACATCCAAATATTCATTCAAAATAGGATTAATTAATTTTCTAATTGATTGCAAGATATTATGGTGACATAATATCTTACAATTATACCCAAAAACCATCAAATGTGGCCGATTCCAACCTCTCCAAAGGGGGCAGCCACACCCCTATAAATACCACTTCATTTCTCCAAAACCTAAGTTGAAACATCTTGCAAAATTCTCTAAATTCTCCAAACACTTTTCCCTCAAAATTCTAACTTTGGCATCAAAGGTTCTTCAGCCAAATCCACCCCCCCTCAATTCATCGTGGGCGTGTGAGGCTCTCAGCCTTGACCTAAGGTGTTAATTGTTTTTGCAGGTGCATTTTCGTCCAAGAACAAGAAAGAAGAAATTTGCATCCATGGGTTAGGTGGACACTTGGGTGGGCTATGCAGATGCCTAAGCAAATCTAGGTCTCTTTCTTAATTTCAAATGCCTAGGGATGAATCGGGGCGGTAGTTAGCTGCCTAGCGCCTAGGCGGGGATTTTTAGAACAGTGCTTGCAAGTGACCCTCTACCACAGTGGTGGAGAGGAGTGTTGCCCTTGCACCACAGTGGTTAGAACCCCCGTTGGCTCCCTAATCTAACATCTAATCTAAAAAAAATTATCATTTGATAAAAAATTAAAAAAAATTAAAAAAAAAATGACTTGAACCATATGTGACTTGGTTCATGGGAAGCATCTGATTTTAATGTTTCCTCAACATCAATATTTGTCACGTTGTTATTGAATTAGTCAATAATGTCACCCAAACTAACCTTTTCAGATCAAAGTCATGGAGGGCAAACCACTTTGAGGATAATGTTTTCTTGGGCAGATAATATTTTGAAAAGTAAGTGATAAATATGGACTTGAGACTGGTTTTGGAACGGCTGCCGACTAAAAGCGTTTTTAGCCTGATTTGACAGAAAAGCTTAAAAGTTACGGTTTACAGGACTGGTTCATGAAGCACTTCACTCATATTTTTAATAAAAGTTTCAATGAAGTTCTAATAAAATAGTTGTAATAAAAACGCACATGAGCATACTTGTTTTGTTTAGATGCAGTCCCAATTGTGTTGTAAAACCATCTAGTAAGTACTTTTGATAGGATTGTTCTAAAGTTGTACAACCAATCAAATTTACATGATCTTTTTCTTTTTCCTTTTCACCGGCCTACATGATCGAGCAAATGGACACCAAGTTAGGAAGATTCAATGTCGAGGGCAACATACATTATTCTGATATATGCTTATTACTGTAAAGCATGTGCTTATATATGCAAAGTGCACCACTTATCAACTCAACTCAATCTTCGCGCGGCATACAGCTCGCCGGTATATCCTTCCATGTCAGTCAAAAAGGCAGTGGGCAGCGCTCGAGCCCTTGAGAATGGCATGCTTGGTACTTCAGACCATGTACCGGTGGAGGGCTCAAAAACTTCAGCAGACTGAAGAGGGATCAATCCACCTCGTTCCCGAGTAACCCCTCCAACAACATAAAGTTTGTTATTCAGAATACCTGTCTTACAATAGGCTCTACTTGCCGACATGATTGTCACTCCATGCCATGCATTCTGAATTGGATCAAATCTCCAGACGCACCTCACGGTCGTAGCTTTATAAAATCCACCTAGAACATAAAGGCATCCATCAACAGCACCAATGGCAACCACAAAACAGCATTCGTTCAAATGCGTTCTTTCTCCCTAACCAGCCTCTAATAGTATGATCAATTTCGATGCTTGGGCCCACCATATTCCACATCGAAAACCTAGAAGAACTCTTGCTGAATTCTTCTTCATAAACTACATTGGGCATCTGAGGTAGCCTCTGCCACCTTCTTGACAGGGGATCAAAAGTATGCCAGGAAAGTTTATCCTCTTCAATTTTCGTCAACAAGTACAGCCATTCTTCACTTGTACCAAGTTCTTTTCTCAATTTAAATAGTTCAGAGCTAGTAACAGTTTCCTTCCACTTCCGGGAAACCAGCCTGATATTGAAGTAACAAATTCTAGGGAATCTAGCAATAATTTGGATCGATAGCTCATCAGGAAGATTGGGAATTAGTCTTTGGCTCTCCTCAAAAGTACATGGTGACATTCTTTGCCTCTTGCAGGTGTCATTCTGAGAGATCTCATGGCACTCATTTCTCTCAGACTTCGGACCAGCCAATCTCAAAAGAGCCCCCATCAGAAACTGCAAAGATCAGTAAACCTCATAGATCACACGACTCTTTTTAGTCCCACAGTTGGGACCAGCCAAACTCAAAAACAACTACATAGTTGACTTAGCCTCATGGATGCAGAAATTATTCATTCTACTTTCAGTTGATCAATTCCAAAACTAAAACAACACACGCACACCAGAACTGCGATCAGCGTACCTAAAGAAACGAGACCAAATTTGACTTCAATCCAAGTTCTGCAAAATTATTCGTTCTACTTTCAGTTCAAGAAGGCAAAAGGCCAAATGAACACGCACAAACAGCTACAACAAGCTAAATTCACGAGGCCAGTTCCAAAGTTATCGAAACCGGATGCGAGATGAAACTTGTGCACATTTGGCTCCAAAGTTAACAAAAGGCATCCCACATGTTGTTGACTGATATGGACTAAATTTCGTGTTGCTTCTCATGGAATAACCCAAAAAAATTAACTCCAAATATCACTCAAACCCCTCCTCTAAAAGAGTTGATATTTTACTATATATTTTACATCCATCCAGCTTGTATTTTATTAATGAAGTTTCCATCCAATCCTCCGTTCTTTTGCGAGAATTGCATTGTTTAAAAGAATTTAAGAGACAATTAACTACAAAAATTACTATTGAACTGAATTTACTAACGAATTATATCACAAAGGTTTAAATTCCTAATATTTTTACCTCAAGGACCGTTTGTATTCGATTTAGGCCAAGAAGTAATGGAAGCTTCTAATCTACTGGGCCTATCCTCAACGACCTAAGCCCGTTCATTAGTAACCCAGACCATAACACAAATACAAATAGGTCCCTTCAAAAATAAATGCAAACAGGTCCTGGGCCACTCTCTCTCTCTCTCCCCAAACCTGCCGCTGGGCCACTCCCTCTCTCTCCCCAAACCTGCCGCAATGTCGTATTTTTCTCAATAAAATCGTCACTTGTCTCACACACGTTTTGAAATTCAATCTCTCGCTGTCGCTTTCTATCTCTCTCTCTCTCTCTCTCTCTCTCTCTCTCTCTCTCTCGTATGATTAGGGTTTGAAGAGAATCGAATAGTATCGATGGCTCCATCGTTGATCTGCAGCTTCGTGATGTGCAGGACGGTTATGCTTGCAGAGTGCTCAAATCATCAGGATCAGGAGGATGTGGCTCGCCTGGCTCTGAATTTGCTCGAGACGCTCGACCGTTCGATGAGAAGGATCACCTACGAACGTGGTGATGGTTACACCTTCAACTACCTGATCGATTCTGGCTACAGTAATATCTCTTTCTCTTGCCGTGCCTTTGTTACGGTTCTGGTTTAGACGATAGTAAGACTCGTCTAAATTCGCTGATTGAAATTCGTCATTCGTGTTTTTGTTGGTTTTCGAATAAAAAGAAAAATTGTTAACTTTTTTTTTTTGGGGTTCGGAATAAGTTAGTTATTTGTTTTACTGAATGTTGGCTTCGGAATAAACTTTTTAATTTGCTTTGTAGCGCTATGTATATAGCTGAACTAACTTCACTATTTCAATGGTGCAGCATACTGTGTAGTTGCAGATGAGGATATTGGTCGAGAAATTCCTCTTGCCTTCCTCAATCAAGTCAGGAAGGATTTTCTTGGCAAATATCGTGCACAATTTGTTAAAGCACTAATTGCAGATAGTCTGAGCAATGAATTAGGGTAGCTGTTTCTTTATCCCTTCACTTGTTAAATAGCTTGCACCTTTCCCTTTCTATGACGTGTTCTAATGCCTCAACTTTGTAGGTCCAAACTGAAGGAGCATATGGAATATGTAGCTGCTAAAGTCTCAAAAGACGAACAAGTTGCGATGGAATATATTGACAAGGTAAAGGGCATTCTCTCAACTCTTTTGATTTTCATTTTATCTTTACTCTGCCAATCTATTTCATATGTTTAATATTGTTCTTGTCGCTTGAGAATAGAATCGAGGGTGGCGCATGAGAAGAAAATCCAAAGCTCCATCATTGAGCTATAGCTTCGTGGCGCACGGCACGGTGGTTCTTGCGGATTGGTTGCAATTTGACCATACGGTCAGTGGCTTGGCTGTGGATTATCTCTCTGAGCTCCCCTGTTCGATAAATAAGATCACCTACGACTGTGGCGGCTGCACGATCAACTACCTGCTTGATAGCAACTTCAGTAATACCTCTCCTCTCATATATTTGTGTTTGATTTCTACTTTTCAGTCAATAAGGTTGTGGCTACACGATCAACTACCTGCTTGATAGCAACTTCAGTCTCATGTATTTGTGTTCGATTTCTACTTTTCAGTCGATAAGGCCGTGCTCATGTATTTGATTTCCTTTTTACTTCATTTAAATTGTTTCAATGTATGGTTGTTGAATCATTTGGTCCTTGCAGTCAACAGGCTTAAGACTATTGTTCCATTTTTTATGACCATCGTATGAGATCGGTCTACACTTCTATTAATTTGATTTTGTTTCTCTCGTCTCTTTC